GCGCCCGGCACTGCCGCGGTTGCTGCTTTCTCTGCCCTTGTAGGTCAGACTTTATAGGGCAGACATGGACCTGGGTCTGCCTGGGGTTAGGAGAGAGGGATGGCACAATCCCAGTGCTCTCATCATATTTCCAGTCTATGTCACCTTTCTGGCTATCCCATTCCCAGGGTCTCCCTTCCTTGCTGGTTCGAGAGGAAACACAAAAACTGAATGGGAGTGAACCTGGGGGTTATGAACTGAGGCCAACCCAGCATAATAAAGCTCATTTTGGGGGGGTGAGAAGGCTGGGTGGAATTGCAACACCCCCAGTTTCGCCTGGGGCCTCACCTGGGTGCAGCTGTCCGTAACCCAGCACGCTTTGGCTCCCGGGGTGCACACGTTGGCGTTTCCCTAACAACCTTTTCTCACCCACAGCGTATTTCCAGCAGAAAATAACAGAGTACCACGACCAGAAGAAGCACCGAAGGGACTCCTGAAGTCCAGCCTGGGAACACAGGAGCAGGACCAGGACCGAAGAGGTCCCCGCCAGCAGCACCAACACTGCGCAGACTCGACGCGTGCCCCGTCCAAGGGCAGAGCACGCTGGACTCTGCTGGATCTGTCCGCCGGTTCCTACCCATCCGTGACTCATGAGATGCGTGGGCAGCACCGAACACCGGTTTCTACCCTTTCTTTTTTCCTCAGGCCATCGTTGCACTGGAAAACTCTTTTGCACAGAGCTAGCAAGCAGGCTGCGGTTGCTTTTCCGATCTTGCTGGCCACAGGGACAACCTGCAACTCCCAGCGCCCAGCCCTGCACAGTCTTTGGCCCCATCAGGACCTCACGCAGCGAGGGGGGGAAGCCAGGGAGCTGGCTGCAGCACAACAAAGGTTGTAGAGTAATTGTTAGAGGGGAAAAAAAAAAAAGGATGAGTAGGAAATAGTGTCGTTTCTAATTAAAACAAACCTAGGTTTTGCAAATAAGTAACATCCTATTGAATAAGTTCCCGAGGTTTCTGTTATTAACAACTGTTTCACTTTATTTGCTGTCAAGATACTCTCGTTAAATACCGGCAGGAACAGTCACGGTGGCTTTCAGCGGTTTCCTCTATAGCAGCTGCTTCGTTGGTACCACTTAGAGCCTGGTTTAGCTCTTTAAAGAAACAAAAATATTATTTTCCAAAGGGTTATTTATTTGTGGTGTAAGCAAACTGTGAAGGCCACGGGGCTGTGTTTTGTAGCAGAGGGAAACGGGCGATCAACAGCTTTGGGTAGGGAGGAAGTATTTGTTAAAGCCAGTAGTAAAACATGTCGACATCCTCCTTGTTTCTGGTTTCGATGCCAACTTCTTTTAAAACCTTGCAGCTCGTTGAAGCGCCGTCTCTGAAATGCGATGCTTGGAGCAGATGTAAAGCTAAATTATGGTTCTCCCCCTTTCCTAATGCACTCAGCCAGGGAATAAATATCGCAGCAGGGGAAGCTGGTGCTGGCTGCAGATCTGTCTGGTTCCTTCCCAGACAAACCAGGGCCAGCTACTTCTCCCAGCAAGGGCTGGGGTCGAAGGCAGAGCTTCATCCTCCTCACTGGGATGTGATAGCCAAGCTGCTGTATCACTCGCTGCACACTGGACATGTGCACACAGGCAGATGTTGCCAAAAATATAGTTTAGTACAACTTCTGCGGTGGTATTGAATGCCAGGGTGAGAGATTTTACATAAACTCTAAAAAATAAGCAGGCTGACTGCCAAGCAGCTCTCGCTTTCAGAGCTGTTGAACATTTAACAAAAACAAGACAGATGTAAAGGGCATTTATTTTAGAAGTAACTATTTGTGCAGTCATGCACACACGTACGTGACAGAAACGCAGTTGGACAGAGGGTACGAAGTGAGCAGCAATGAAACTCTCTAGCCCCGCCGAGAGAAAATTGTTGATTTTTGTTCAGCCCTGCTGTGTGTTTGGAGGGTGGGAACAAGAATTATTCGTTAGAAAAAAAGGGGATTTTTAGCACTGTGGGTATCTTCTCTGGCTCCACAAGTTCCTCCTCATGGGCAGAGAGCGTTACACGTTTGACTACAGGAAATCAAAGGTTAGTGGTCTTTTTCTGTGTTTTTTCATTTAATAAAGATCACCTGCCAGCAGAAAATTGTGTGTGTGGAAAATCACAGCCATCTAGCAAGAGCTGTCCCCTTTGAAAAGACCACTTCTCCTGCTTGTTCATTACCATTTTGAGGAGATGCTGCCCCTCTGGGCTGTGAAGCACACCACCGTGTGTGAGGAAAACGGGAAGCGGTCCTCGCTTTGGCAGCAGCTCTTTAGAAACGAATTAGCAGCCGCCTAAGGGACTGGATTGTGGGGTTGATTAATTCCTGCCAGAGAAAAACAGACTCGAAGGTTGTTCCTTAGCTGCTGGAAACAGATACACCGAAACTAAGCCTTAAATTTCAAGCGTAGCCAGTGCTACAGGTGTCAGCAAGGGTTAACCCCTGCGAGTTCAAAGCGTTGGTGCTACCTCCCCGTGACTGCTGAACACAGAACAGACTCAAACACCCCAAAGCACTTTTCCTTTTAGAATTGTTATGGAAAAAAAGAGACCTTGATCCATTCCCAGTGACCAGCCCAGAAGAGAATCCTTTGGGAAGCACATCAGCTCTGAGCTCAGCTCCTCCCTTGGCTCCAGAAAGACAAAAGGAACTGGTACAGAGGAACAGGCACAACCAGGTACTTCTCTGGCACTAACTGCTCTCCCCACCATCCAGCAGCAGCTCCAGAGCTACGGGCGGTGGCTGAAGAGGCTGGAAAGAAAGAAAACAAGCCCAGGGACATAATCTACCCCCAAATCTCCCTCCTCTCACATCTTTTCCCTTTCAGTAGGCTGGTACTCTTCCTGACAGCTCTGCCCTTGTTTCCTAAGCCTGTCTGACTGATGTCCTTCCTGCTCAGCAAGTTTTAAGGGTTTCTTGCGTTGGGATGGCCTGAACTTTGAGAAGCAGCTTGGTATTATCACGCTTGCTCATTCACCTGACCGGTGCAGTCTGGCAAGAGCTTTCATGCCCTCCATTTAACCCCCAGACAGTGGACAGACCGCCTGTCGTAAGAAGCGTGCACATCCTACGATCAATCAAGACTGGTGAATGAAAAACACCATGCTGAAAAGGCAGGTTCTGCATAAAATTACTCTCTTTATTTCTTTGCACTCAGTTTGCCTCTTTTAAACCACCTGCTTGTAGGTGGGGGCATTGCATTTGCTGCTAGAGACACCAGGGTAAACTCAGCAGCTGTTTTCCAGGAGCACGGACACATCCCGCTGAGCTCAGGTCACACCGCAGCACACCAGCAAAACCCACAATGTCTTTTTAAATCCTTCTTCCTGCTCAAGATTTGTCTAACACTCGATCTAAGACTACAACAGTAAATAAAACAGCGCCAAGAAATGTTTTCCCTGAACTGGAAAGTGCTCGTTTATTCTGCTAAATTGTTAACATAGTTCCCAGCAGAGCATTAGCCAACTTGCACTCGTACAGACAATTCCCAGGCACAGCTTGGGGGGGGTCAGCCCAGGAATTGCTCCTGGTTT